CGAGAAACCTAGATAAGAAAACAAAGAAAGGTAAATGGTAAATAAATTACAAGACTGGAATGATAAACAAGACTTGCAAAGATAAAAAATTCTTTGAATTTAAATGTTGACTCAATCATAATTTGTCAAAACTGACCCGTTTCTCTATATGCCGGTACTTTGAGTGCTCTCTTACAATGTTACAAGATGCAATCTCTAAAATGAATGCAGTAATTTGCTTAAATAGATGCTAAAAATGTAACCGTCAATGGTTACTTGAGCCACTCATGTTGATGGTTCGTGCGACACTACTTTTAAAACTCCCACGTCTCGCTTAATGCTCGTCGTTGATAATCGCTTCTATCGTCATCTGCTTTTGCTCTTGACTTTCCTGGTCTTCACCAAGATCGCTTCTGACACTATGATCATTGGGAATAATACATATGTATTTGTATTTCCTATTCTACCCTTCAATGGATCTCTTCTTTTCAGCTATAAAAGAAGTATATGGAAGAATTTGAAATCAACGAATCAGTTTAACAAATCTATACTAAACTACTGCACAAAAACTCTGTAGAGAAATATTTTGTATAGTTTTGTAAATAAGCAAGGAATTGTTGCTCGTATCTTGTTATCAACAATTTTGTGTTGTTGTACTTAAACATTGTGTAATTTGCTTGTGTATAAGCATCTCCGTATCCACATCTTTGTAATTAACTATTGTTGATAGGTTCCTTGAGAGACTCTATGTAGTCTGGATTCTCAAGAAGATGTTGGTTGCGGTCATAGTAGTTTGCAATAAGGATCAGTGGACTTATTAGGGGTTTCAATAGGGTTGATCAGATTTACTTTGGTTGTCTGTAATCTGGTTGATTATAGTGGATTAAGTCCTTGTGTATAAGGCAAATTAACTTGCGAGATGGACTGGAGTAACTTAGTTAACAATGAACCAGGATAAAAATAATTGTGTTCATCTATTTTTATTCACTTGTTATCTTTGTGTTTTGAGCTGCAAAAAGATTATATTTGGTGCAACCCAATTCAACCCCCCCCCCCCCCCCCTTTCTTATGTTTCTCGCGCCTTCACACTTCACTTTTCTTCTTGATCAGGTAAGTCTATAGTTTTCGACTGAAATCATCTATGAATGTGACAAAGTATTTGTTACCTCCCATTAAATCCACCTAGATTGGTCCACATACATCAAAGTATATGACTTTGAGGATTGTCTTCAACTTGCTTCCTGCATCCTTGCTGAAGCTGTTCTTGTGCTACTTTGCCTGCACACATTCATCATACACCTCATTTAGAAAGTCGATTTCTGGTAATCCTGAAACCATACTTATTCTCTTTAAATCTCTGATGTCTCTGAAGTTGATATGGCCAAGTCGATAATACCACATCCACTCATCTATGCTAGCTGTAGTTGCTAGGAATTTGTGCTCCATCACATTTAGTTAAATCTTGAAGGTTCTATTCTGAGACATAAGAGCCTTCAATATTAACATTCCTCATGCATCGACGAATCTCATCATCTTGTCTTTGATCGATACTTTACAATTATTTTGATCAACTGCCATATGCTAAGCAAGTTGCTCTTCATGCTTGGTATGTACAACACATTGGAAATTAAAGACCTCTTGCCATCTTTCCTCATAATCAGAACATCACCAATACCTTCAGCTGCTAGAGTATTGTCATTTGCAAATTTCACCATGTTCTTCATCGAGGACTTTATGTTGGAAAACCAATCTTTCCTTCCAGGCATGTGCGATGAACATCCTGAATCCAAGTACCATTGGTCCTTGAATTTCTCTTCATATCTTGTTGTGACCATCAACATCATCTCTTCTTCTTCATACTTTGCAAACTTTGCATCACTTTCTTGATTCTATTGCTTTTCTGTACAATCACTAGAATATTGACTATACTTCTGACAATTGTAACACTGAATGTGACTCTTGTCAGGTTTTCAACCACCACCTTTTCCTCTACCTTCAATACCACCTCTTTGGTTTCCTTGGTATGAGGGTTTTCTCTGATTCGACACAATTCCTTTCTGCTGGTTTCCTCTACCAGTTGAATTGTTGTAGCCACCTCTACCTTTGTCGAACCACTTTCCTTTTCCTTTACTTTCTTTTGTTGAATGTGTCTGCAAAGCCACATCACTGTTTGACTTCCCTGCATCTCTCTCAACAATTATTTGTTCATGAGCTTCAAGAGTCCCTTGAAGTTATTCCTTTGTGAATTTCGACAAATCTTTCCCCTATTCTATAGTTACCACCATGTGATCGAACTTAGGGGCCAAAGATCTCAAGATCTTTGTAACAACTTCTCTGGTTGTTAACGTTTCTCCATATACCTTGATTTGATTCACTAGTTTCGTAACCCTAGTGAAGAAATCAGATATGCTTTCACTATCTTCCATCTGAAGCAATTCATATGTTCTTTTGTAAGTTTGTAACCTCACATCTTTCACTTTTTTGCACCTCCAAAAGATTTCTCAAGAATCTCCCAGGTTTCTTTTGTAGACTCTACATCACTAACCTTTTCAAAATTTTCTGGACTAACACATTGGTGAATTATAAAGAGAGCTTTATAATTCTTATTTTTCAATTCTTTGTGTTCAGTCTCTTCATCATCTGAAGGATCTCCATCAAACAGTTCTAACCCATCTTGTACAAGATCCCAAAGACCTTGATAATAAAATATGACCTTCATTTGTTTGCACCAATTCTCATAGTTATCAACTTTGAGAATTGGAAGACTTGCTGGAAAATCCCCATTCACATAATTCATCACCATTATGATTTTCTTCTTCTTCCCTTGATCGCTCAACCAGAGCTCTGATACCAGATGTTGGAAATCTACAAAAACCTATGGAGAATTTCTATCAATCTTGATGAACAAGATTGTTATCACTAGACAATAACGATGAAAAGAAACAAAAATTAAAGAAGAAAAAAGATTAGGGTTTCTGCAGAGTTTCTCTCTGTCCACAAATTGTGAAAAAAATTTATTCACTTTGCAACTACAAAATTCTGTGAATACAAGTTGTTATGAGTTCGTTACAAAAATAGGAGTTACTCCCTTTATTTATAATGAGCTTGCTTTCTCCTTAAACGAAAAAGCCCAAAACTATAAAAGCTCAAAATACCTATTTTAGACCTAAATCGAAATATGTGTGTAGCAATCTGCTTACAATACTTTCACAACTAACAACTCGACATACTAAGCTTTTCGACACATCTTCTGTCGAGCAATAACCTGCTTCGACACAAGAAATTACACTTTCAATTGTTGATAAAAATTGTTTGTGAAGTAACAACTATATAGTCTGAAGATGTAGAAAGGATTTGATTTGCACAACACGCCAATACCTTTAATAACATAATCACCCATATTGGGAGCCTTTGAGTAAATGATGATGAAGACAATGCAATTATAGTGATGTGTTTATTACCATGTACTTACTACCACTTGTTGACCACTCCTACCTACATGAAAAACACTATGAGATTTGTATTTAAATTTATGCTACACTCTTGTTTCATTCTCAAAGGTGACATAATATAGAGGAAGGAACTCAAGTTGATGGGGAGCCAAGATCACGGGCATTCAAGTAATAATAAAGAACTATAGTTGCTTGATAGTCGCAAATATAGACACACTTGACTGAATTGCGAAAACAAATATCATAAATAAGAAACAAAAAACTGAAAATACCAAAATCTGTAACTTCAGTGTGAAGTCAATATCTCCCGGCTTAAACTTTGTTTTCATATTTGAATTGTCAAAAGGTAGATACAGATTTGCGAACCTGCCCTCTAAAAATGAGCTTGATTCAATGGTTGATGAATCCTAAATCACTAATTTATTGAGAGTGATTGCAAAAAAAACGAGAATTAATTTCTCTTCTCTTTTCTCTCTTTTGAAATTTTTTCTTCCTCTCTCGACCGTAAATTAACTCTCTCCACTTAAAATAAATAAGTGAAACACAAATGAATTACCATACTTAGACTTTTTCTCTACATAAAAAAAGCCCAAACCTTACAAGATAAAGTAAAAATTGAATTGAATTACCTTGACCCTAAAAACTTCTAACCGAACTAGATTTATCAATTCAAGTCATAAATAAACATTTAAAAAAAAAAATACTTTGATGCTCTTTGAATTTAGTTAAATATATATTTATCATTCAACCAAACAATATTATTTAATATTATACAAAAAAAAATTATTTTAAAATAAAATTTAAATTTTAAACAAATTTTATTAAAGACATCGGTACTTAATCAAATCTCTCATGGTTATTTAAGAATTTACTTTAATTATGCTTGAACAAATACTCAATACCCAATTTAATAATGCTTGAACAAATACTTAATACCCAAAAAAAAAAAAACTCTTAAAACAAACAAAATTAAACATATACCACAAAAGCAGTTGCGTTATAGTGCAAGAAAGTTTCGTAAACGTGCTTCCACGCCACTACTTCTATACAATTAGTGCCACACCACCCAACCATATAACCTCTTAGGATGAGTTTGTTTATTGTGAGTTTATTCTCCAGACTATAGATTGAAATATTTTTTATGTTAGTGTTTATTTTAAGTTATAAAAAAATATATTAATTTTTTTTTTTTTTTAGAAATTTATTTTACACATAATTTTGTTATTTTTATTTTCATATTATAATGTAAAAATCTTTTATTTTCATGAAAATAAAAATTAACTACATATAATTTCTTATTATCGAATATTTTAATTTAATTAATAAAATTTAAAATAAACATATTTTATAAATATATTTATAAAATAAAACTATTCATTAAATATGTAAATGAAAATAATTTTCTAAATGATAATATTTTCAAGAATAATATTCTCAAAATTAAAATTTTAATCTTTAAAACAAACACGTATTTAATCTCTTCCGACAACACCTGTTCCTTTAAATTGTTGTCGTTGTTGTTTATCCGGTTTTTATATTTTAATGATAATTCACTCACAATCTTAATTCATGTCTAGACTCATTTGTTTCTATTCAATTTTCCAGCAACTGGGGTCCACACTTCCGTATGCCACCACTTGGATGATTCTTCTGATCGTTACCGCCGTGTTGGCGTCGTTGGCACCCGGTGTGGCTTTTATGTTTGCGGTGTCGCAATTTTCTTCTTCGTTGTCTTCAAAGCCTTGTCAAAAGCATGAGTTTGTGAGGATTCCGTTTGATTCTCCGACGGAGATGGTTTGCTTGCCGGAGCATGCGGTGGTTAGCACCTCACAGTTTGATTTCTTCTTGCCTAGTTTGTTTGCTGCTTTGGTTGTTTCTGCTTCAACTTTTCTGCTTCGTTCTGTGATCTCTCCATGATGTTTATTTATTTATTCATAAGTATTTTAGAGTTCCACTGAGAAATCAGTAAAGATTGATTGATAGTTTTATACTTAGTTAGAATTTTGTATGCATGAATGTATTGAATTTAGGAATTTATTATTTTAAATTATTAAAATAATACATTTGAGTTTAAATCCATTTATGTTTTACTATTAGCCCATTAATTTATAAACACTAATGTTTTTTTCTTCTTCTCCAAATTGATGTGGGATTAATATTAATATCTCATTAGCTTGCTTGAAGTAACAGCGTGTGTTTATGTTCTTGGTTGATGATGTATGTTGATTGAAGCATATAAACACTTGAGCTTATTAATCAAACTATTTTTCTTTAAACTTCTATTATACTTGTTGAAACAAAAGATTCAAGAAAGATGAATATTGTGAAAAATAAGAAGAAGAAGAAGAAGAGAGAGAGAAAGAGAGTTGAGTTAGTTAAGTGTAACTAACTCTGAACTGAGTTCAGTTATTGTTGTTTTTTCGATTACAAATGATGGTCCTATATATAGGCAAGACGCTCAGACCCAAAACATGCTAAAAGCCCAAATAACCACATAACAAGAATTAACCAACTAACACACACCCTAATTCATGTTATCAAGACTTCTCATCTCAATGCCTTTCTTTAACTCTTCGAATCTTACTTTCTTCAGAGGTTTGGTGAATGTGTCAGCTAATTGCACTTCTGTCTTGCAATATTTTATTTCAAGCTTCCCTTTGTTGACTTGATCTCTCAGAAAATGATACCTTCATTCAATGTGCTTACTTCGACCATGATACATTGGGTGATTTGTAAGGTTTATAACTGACTTGTTATCAACAAACAACTTCATCTTCGATTTCATTATTCTGAGTTCTTCAAGTAGCATTTCGATCCATGCTGCTTGACATGCAGCATATGATGCAGCCACATATTCTGCTTCACATGATGACAAAATCACAATGCTTTGCTTCCCCGAACTCCAAGAGATTGGAGCTCATTCGATCATGAAAATATATCCTACAATACTCTTATTTTCATCTTGATCTCCACTGAAATCTGAGTCAGTGTATCCATGAACTTCGACATCTGTGTTGTTCTTCGACTTCTTTGGTAATAGCACACCATGATCAATAATTCCCTTTATGTATCCCAATACCCTCTTTACTGCAATGAGATGACATTCTTAAGGCTTCTCCATAAATCTTCTCAACAATCCTACACTTTGGCAGATATCTGGTCTAGTATTACAAAGATACCTCAAGGATCCAATGATTTGTTTGTAAAGGGTCGAACTTACAAACCCATCATTCGATTCCTTCTTCAGCTTTGCTCCAGTCCCTAATGGAGTAACAAATGCGTTACAGTTGCTCATATTGAACCTCTTCAGTATATCTTGAGCATACTTCGTTTGATGCAAGAAAACTCCTTCTTCGACGCCTTTGAATTCCATTCCCAAGAAATATGAGAGATTTCCTAAATCAGACATTTCGAATTCCTGCATTAACATTGACTTTACCTTCATTATCTCAGCTTCGTCTGCTCCTGTAATGAGAAATTCATTAACATAGAGGCATAAAATGATTCGATTGACACTTTCGACATCATTTACATACACTCCATGTTCAGAGACACACTTTGTGAAACCTGCTTCGATTAGGAAGCTATCTATCCTTTTATTCCATGCTCTAGGAGCTTGCTTCAATCCATAGAGAGCCTTCCTTAATCTGTACACTTTCGACTCCTGCCCTTTGACGTCGAAACCTAGTGGTTGAGTAACATAGACTTCTTCTTCCAATAGACCATTCCAAAATGCTGACTTTACATCAAGTTGATGCATTTTCCATCCTCTATATGCAGCTATTGAAACAACAATCCTGGTTGTTTTGATCCTTGCAATAGGTGCATATACTTCATCGAAGTTAATACCTGGTTGTTGTAGAAAACCTCTGGCCACCAGTCTTGCCTTGTACTTTGCAATCTCACCATTTGGACTTTGTTTCACCTTGTAGATCCATTTCACATCAATTGGTTTTTTGTTGGTTCTTTCGACAAGCTCCCAAGTGTTGTTCTTCTCAATGGCGCTAAGTTCTTCTTTCATGGCTTCACACCAATATGAATTGCTCAAGGCTTCACCCAAGTCAATTGGTTCTGCTTCAGCCATCATCATGGCTTCTTCGATTAAGTCACCATCAGCATCGATTGCTTGATCTGGAAATCTCTCATATCCAATCAGCCTAGTCGACTCAGTTCTTATTCTTATGGTTCTTATTTTATTCTGCACATCTGGTTCTTCATTTCGATCAGTCGAAGTATCACCTTGTTCATTTTTACTTGTCGAAGCTTCATTCTTTTCATCTTCTTCGAACACAGTTGTGACTGTGTCTGATTCTTGTCAAACTGAACTTCGAGTCCAATCCCATCCTTTGCTTTCGTCTACAAGAACATCTCTATTGATCACTAGTTTATCTTCAATTGGTGAATACAACTTGTATGCACCAGTCGAATGATAACCTATGAGCATCATGACTTCACTTCGATCATCCAACTTCTTTCTCAATTGTTCAGGTACATGCCTGAAACACATTGATCCAAAAACTCTAAGATGACTTATATTTGGCTTCGACCATGTCCAAGCCTCATGTGGTGTCTTTTCGACCATTTTCTTTGTTGGGCATTGTTGTACCCCAAAATTTGCCCTCCCATATTCTTCAAAGTTTTGACAAGCATCATCTAAATTTGCTCAAGTCTACTCAAGGGTTGCACAGTCAAACCATCCTCCTAAGCCAGTCAAATTAGGGTTTTGGTCCTTACAAGGAAGTTGAAGTTTTCAAGGGCTCAATCAAGTCCCACATGCCTATAAACATTGTCAAGCATCTACATGCCAAGTTTCAAGGCTCACAAGGTCAAGTTGCACAGTCAAAAACCCTAATTGCTTCACAATCAACTGCAGGGGCAAAATGGTCATTTGGCAGTCAAAAGTCAAAAATTTTGGTCAACATCTTATTTTGAAGCCACAATCATCATTTGATCAAGTCTTGATCATAATTCCACAAACATGGCTCAAAAATCATCAAGATGCAAAAGTTTCCATTTTTGGACAGCTGAAAAGTCAACTGTAACTTGACCAAGGCATAACTTTTTCATGGTTCATCAGAAAAATCTCATTCAATGCTCATTTTGAAGGGGATGACATTTCCTACAACTCATCTTCACATTACAAGTCCAAGAAATGCTCTCACAAAAAGTTATCAATTTCAACATTATAGGTCATTTTCAAAAGTCAACAAGGCTGGTTAATGGGCCAATAATTTACAGGCTTCACACCTCCATTGGGCCATCAACACCCCCATTGGTTTCTATTTCCTTTTTTATTTTCCTTTTCTTTTCCTTTTCTTTTTTTAATTATTATCATTATTTTTAATTAACCTAACAAACTAATTTTTTCCCATAAAATTCAATAAAATAAAATAAAAACATTTTATTATTTATTAACTTATTTTTGTAAATAAATTTTAATATTAATTAATTAGTTGTGTAATTAGAACAATTTTAACTTTTTTTAATAAGTAAAATTAATTTAGAATTAGGACTTTCAACTTTTAATTTCTTTTTCTTTATTTTATTAAAAACATAAAAAACACAAAAAAAAAATTCTTAATTAATTAATTAATTAGTTATTAATTTAAATTTCATTAATTACAAAAAAAGGACAAAAATTTAATTCTTATTCAAAAAGGGTCAAAACCCTTAGGACGTTCCCGATTAAATTTCCATTCGCGCGTATTTATTTATTCTGATTATATTTATGTATCTGTACAGAGGATGTAATAGTAATTAGGATTTTATTACTTTCTTTAATTTTCTGCATTTACTTTTCAAAAACGGGTTTTTGTTTTTGGCGATGTATATACCCGCGCCTTGTAATAGTTAGATTTACATTTCCGCAATTTACTTTCCGCACCCCTAACTGCTAATATGCCTGCAAGAATGTATGTAAATAAAATCAATCTGTAGCTCACAAATAACATGTACAAAGACAATTAACTGAAAAACAACACACAAAGCACATGCCACTCCTAGGGTACGCCTCACTGGTTGCCTCGAAGGTGGTCATCAAGTATAGGGTGTCTTAGAGGTCTCCCTTTGTCTAAAGATCCAGTTGCCTCGAAACGGTTGCCTCGGATAAAAGGATCTAGGACATTAGAGTTACTTCTAAGGTGTCCTACCATTGCTTTGGTGACCACACATGTCCCTATAATCGAATTGACCCGAACAACTCCAACTATGGTGCTACCTACCTCTCAATGGTGGTATAGCACTATCTAAAGGACTCTTACACAGCCTAATTCCTTAGAGTAGGTAGATCTCATGGGTACTTGCTCTTTTCAAAACAAACAAAAACAACTCTTCGCACTCACACTTTCAAAAGGTTTTCAAACAAATTTTTCATACACTCTTGAGGACAGATACAAGAGTTACTTAGAAATTTTTCAAACAAAACTTTTTCAAAACACACACACACACTTGAAAAGCAAACAAATTTTGAAAACATAAGAGCAAGTACCTAAGAGCCCGTGGATAACCACGGATAGAAAGGGTGCTAACACCTTCCCTTTCTATAAATCTACCTCCCGAACCGAGAGAAATCTCAAAGAAGGAATTTTGCTGTTCTTTTGTCCTTTCCATGTTGGAGAACATAAAAGACGGTGGCGACTCTTGCTTACCGCGACATTTCGCGAAACCAGCTTAAAAAACAGTCAGTTCTATTTCCACCGATCACAGAACTGGCGACTCTGCTGGGGAATTAATAAAGTGAGGTGTACCTTAGGAATAGTTCATCATCATGTTTTCAATTGCTTGATCTGTTTGCTTTAAAATTGCGGGCCTGTTTTGGGAGTTTCATAGATCCTAACCCAGATTTGGGGGATACCTCTTAGAAAGTAGCAACAAACTGTGAGGGAACTGTGCGGGGTATACCCACACGGTTGAAGCAG